AGAAGCCCGTCACAGACTGTGGGTGGGGGTGGTTCCAGATCAACACAGGCCTCCCGCAGCTATGCGTCTTCAAAGATATCTTCTGCTATCGTGTTGTCTATCATGTGATAATGAGACCTGTGTCCTCTCCCATTCTCTCACCACAGACATATATCATGTAGCTCTGTGTTACCTAAGCACATGCATAAGGAAGATTACGCACCCCCATGCCACAGGGAATACGTCACAAGTGAAGCATGCAATCCGGTAGGGGTGATGGTCACCTTACCACCTCCCCTTTTATCATTGTCTCTTCAGTCAGCATAAGCTAAAATATGAGGTGTGTCTGCTGCTCTGGGAATGTTGCTTTTCTTCCCCTAATTTATGAAATAATACTACACCTTGGAGATTAATGTTGGGGCTTTAGCAAGATTATAATAAACGAATATTGCTTTGATCTACATAGTTTTCAAAAGTTTGTGGCTGATCATTCTCCCTCCCCTATAATCTTTTAAGGAAGCCTTTAGACTCGCCAGGCTGACACACAGAGGGACATGAATATAGCTGCCATTTCTTCCCCCCCACCCTCATTGTCCTGAGGATACTCTGTTCTCAGTTTCACCCAAATGAGTCCCAGAATTTCAGTTGTCTTTTCTGTCCAACATTCCATCATGCAATTCATTAAAATCTTCACATGAAATACTGAACAGATGAGTTATGTCATAATTCACATTACGGCTTTAAATTGCTATTCATGTGGTAAGCCCTTTATCCTGGACATTAGCAGGCCTCTGGGATGGGCTCGCATTTGAAGTACGAGACGGTAGAGTTCTTATCCTCAGCACTCCAGCACAGTGGACTTATTCCAAACCCGAGTTCATGGTGAAATATTCCAAAAAAGTGACACTTGGACTCATTGTTAGTTCTACTTGCAATTAACTGTTTTGAAAACAAAAAGAAGAAAACATTTAAACAAATGTGGCTTGGCAAACAGCGATTACCATTGACCATTAATTAGGGTAAGTTGGAATCCAAACGTGCCAGGCCTTGTTACTCTCACTGCTAGCTGACATTGCTGTTGTGCATGAAGGAATGAAAATTCGGTGACTGTGAGGGGCTGTGCGCGGGAGGGGAGATTAAAACCAGCCACTACCCTGCTCCCAAATATAACCAGTGAAGAGCCCATTTTCTGGATGGGATAGCATATGGCCAGCAGTTACTTGTAGAATTCAGGTTTTAAGAAAACTTGTTCTGCTCGTAAGTGATGAAAGACATGGGAAATTCTGAGCAGGGTGTTTCATTGATTAACTTATTTCAGTTTTATTTGCTCTAAGAAAGATACAGTTTTCTCCCCTTTCCCTACCCAGGGAGAGGAATCTGTTAGAAGATCCTCCTGAGGGGGGTGCTGAGCCAGCCCAGGGCAGCTCCCGGACCTGTTTTCCTTCCTGTGCAGAGGAATGAAATGGTTGCTGCCAGCAGGAACCAGTTGCGGAACGTTGTGGCCAGGTAGCCTGGCCGATGAGCCCATGTTGCTGACGCTGCCAGTATCGCAGACAGTAACCCTCACGGATCCTGAATGCTGGCCTGTCTGTCCTTGTCCTGAATGTGTGTGAATGCTCACAGCTCCAGAAGGGGCATGTGACAGAGCTTGAATGGGGGAGCACTCCTCTCATTAATCCCAAAGGGGAAAAAAAATCCATTCTCAAAGCTTGCTCCACTGCTAGAGAATCATTGGCTTGTTTCCACAGTTTTTTTTTTTCCCTTCTTCAATATCATCATTTTGTAGAGTGCATGTATCCAGCAATATTATACCCTAAAGCATGTGGCTAGCCACTGGCCAGTATGGCTTTATCACAAGTGAGTTTTCTGTTCAGTCTCAGTGTATTGGCGTGAAAGGTGGACTTGGTGGTGAAATGCAAGACTGAAGGATAAAAGCTTTAGGAACAATCACAACATGAATGTTGACAACACTATCAAGCATTTTGAGGGTGCCAATATGCATCATTTTCTTTTGTAGCATTTACCTGCACCCTGGGAAGCTCTATTCAAAAGCAAGAGCCAGTGTGCCTCTCTCTGTAGAGATAAAGAGATGATGTTAATGTATCCATAGGTACATGGCAGTCTTGGGAATAGGGTGCACAACCAGTTCTCTTGGTACGATTGTCCCTGGCTATAATTCGCTGATGGCAGCAGGGTTATTTTTCTGTCTCCTGAGTGAGCTCTCTGTCTGCATGTGAGCATGTCGTACGCATGGAGGATGGGGCCAGTGGTAGTAGGGGTGTTTCTGTGAGCTTGTGTGCCAGGCATGGTGAGCACTATTTTACAAACCGGATTTGTGCTCCTAGGGGTACGTTGTAAGTTGAGGCCAAGCCCACAGAAAATGATTTCTAAATGAGTACAATATGAAAAAGTTATTTTATTTCTAATTTTACATGTAACACTGTTCTTTGGGTGGGTCTTGGATTACACTTGAATGCATGTCTACTAACCTGATCTGAGATGCATGCGTGATTTCATCTTGAATGCATTTGAATATAATAGTACTGGAAATGTAATTTGTATTCTCAAATTTTATAAAGCAAAATAAGTCAATCCTGGGGGTGGCAGCCACATTGAGCATACTGCATTGATTTCTTTGGGTTTCTCTGAAACGAGTGACCAGCTTCCCCTTGCAAATCCAGGTCTTCTCCCCTGGCACTTCTATCTGATCTAAATCCTCAACACCTAAGCTGTCCTCATTTCTGCCACCTCCAGGGAGTGGGCAGCATGGACAGGTCTTTGGAGAACTTTACCTTCAATCCTTAAAGAGCCCCAGTGTCCTCTCTGTGACCCCTCCTATGTTACGGATCACCGTCCAGTAGAACTCTCTGCGTGATGGAAATGTTCAAGATCTGCGTGGTCCAGTCCCTTAGCCACCAGCCCCATGTTGCTACTGAGCACTTAAAATGTCACTAGTGCCACTGAGGAACTAATTACTGATTTCACTTAATTTTAATTTAAATAGCCACATGTAGCTCATGGCCATTTAAATGGACAGCTCGTAGGACAGAGCCCTTGAGGTCAGCTGTGTGTCCCGATTCAAGTGCACTAGCCACTAACGTTCTGCACATGAATGGCTGTATGTTCAGGTGCTCGGATGACGCTCTGTGCTCATTGCCATCAGCTCTGAGAATGTGTGACCCTCTCTTTGGTGATCTGACTGTCCCCCCAGGTCCCCGCACCCCCGGCTGTTGCATCCTTCATGTCTTCATGTCAGCACACCAACCACCTAGTATCTACTGGCTTTCTGATGAACATGTGAGGACAAGGAGGAAAGAAGAAGTAGATAGGAAGGAAGTTAGGAAGCTGGGGAATGGGGGAAGTCCGTCATCGAACAGAAGTCAGGAGCACCATGCCCTCCGGGTGAAATATGCTGATGACTTTCTGGACTGTCTAAAAAACGTCAACGTCCAGGAATGGTATTTTTATTTTCTGCCTTCTCTTTGGGACTTGGGTTTCACTAAAGCATTTTTTTGTCCACGTTTCCTTTATTAAATTAGCAAGATAGACTGGAATCAGAATATACGGTTTTGGCTTGAAATGCTGCTGAAAGGACCAAAGAGATGGGCATGAAAGTACCTCGAGTTCCATCTGGGCTGCGTGCTGGGTGGGAAGAGTGGGCCTCACTGAAGCAATAGTGATTTTTTCCTATGAAAGTTGAAAAAAAGAAAAAAAATGTTGAACAAAACAAAGAAAAATAGAGGAAGCTCATATTTGTACTTTCTGAAGAGAGCTGGCCTTTGGATTCTCTTAAGCATTTCGGTTGGGGAAGAATTTTTATTCTGTTTTTTTGTGTGTGTGTGTGTGTGTGTTTTCTTTACTTTAAATCATTTTCACCCTTAAGAAAAAATTAGCCAAATGCACTAAACAGCTAAGACTGCGTAAGTCATGTTGCTATTTCCCACTGTCTGGGCCCTTTCCCGAGCACTTCCTCTCCAAAGCTTCCATCATGGACTTCCTACCATCCAGGTCTGAGGTCCTGCCACATCTCTGCCTGGAGATCTTCAAGGCTCCTCATACCCTACAGCAAGTGTCAGCAGTTCTTCTTGAATGGGCGCAGGAGGGAATGCTGGGTTTGGGAGCCACTCGGTCCCTGTTGCATGCCCCTTGCTGCACTGCACCACAGACAGTATGAAAATAAACGGGTGTGCCTGTGTGCCAGGACATCTTTACTGACCCAGAGAGGCTGGTTTCACCCCTCGGGCCCACTCCAGCTAACACTCATCAGATGCGCTGACCTGACATTGATGACCTTTTGCCATTTATTACCATTGGCCTGCACACCACGTCCCCCACCCCCTGCTCTTTGAAACCTCAGAACGCTGTGGTCTTTCCAAGGCTCCATCCTGTGGCCGGACTGGTTCTGCGCTTGGCTTGCCATCTTAGCTGCGCCCTCACTTGCCCTGTGAGTTGTATCTCTCTGCCTTACCTCACGCAAAGCCCACACGCCACAACCCTGGGCCAAGTCTGCGCCATCCTCTTCAAGCCCATTCAAGCTTCTGCTGTCGCTTCTATCACATGGCTGCTGCCCACTAGATGGGAGCCTGTGGTCTCATCCCCCTTTGTCCCCAGCTGAGAACTTGGCACAGAGAAGGCTACCGAACACACAGTCATGAAGCCGACTTGCTGATGGGCTTGGGACTCGGGATCAGAGAGCAGTGCACCGACTTGCAGGTGAAAATGCTCTAAGTGCAGACGTGCTGTGGGAGGCCAAGGGTGCTGGTGGGGTGGTCAGCCAGCAAACACACAGCCAGAACAAAAGCCAGCAGGCCAGCTGCAGCCAGGCTGTGGGGCATGGAGCTCACTGCCCAGACGGGGAGTGGGTGAGGAGCGGGGAAAGCCGCGTGTAGTTCAGGGCATCGGGACCAGGGAGAGGATGCAGCCTGCTGGAGGGAGATCAGAGAGAAGCAGCCGCATGATTAATGGGACGGAGGGACTGACTCATGCGGAAAGATTAAAGCGCTCTGCGGAGCTGGGGTACAGACCGAGAGGGGCAGATGATAGCAGACTGCAAGAATGTGCGATGCGTAAACACCCAGGAGGGAGCAGCTAGCTGCACCAGGGAGGTGAGAATGGGGCTGCGTCAGAGAATGGGGGGCACTCAGAAAGGGCACAGGGGGCACTGCCAGGCACTCAGCAAATGGTGGTGGGCCGGGGCGGCTTGGAGCTATCGAATGAGAAACACCATGGAAAGGTCTCTGTGGGTGCCTCTCGGGAAACCTCTGCTTCTATCCTGGAGAGTCCCAAAGCCTGCCATAGCTCTTGACCTTGGCCCTCAGAGGTGGCCTTAGAATTACTCTGTTAGCTCGGGAAGCTGCAGAGAGAGGCACGCAGAGGAAGAAACTCATTGCCTCCCTCCCCTCAATACCAGTGACTGGATGTCACATTGAGTTCTAGGCCCCTCTGCCCTGAAGTCCATCTTCTGCCTCCCCTCCCGCTGGTAGAACCAGACACACTCATTCCAGGCCCCTTCCTCAGCCCGGGGCAGGCCCTCACTGCTTGCTGGTGGGTCCAGGCGGATCCCAGCCCGCAGCCTGGTTCGCAGCTTCCAGGCCTGGCTCATCCCCAACAGACACACGCCGGCAGGCTTTTGGGAAGACAAGATTTATTCGAAACTGCAGAAAACAGCCTCCTACTCCTAAATCAGCGTCTCCCGGGCTTTCTCTGCAACTTTCTGCAGGACCAGGAAGGACCAGCTGTGCCGCAGTGACGAAGCGGTCCACGTGGCAGTAGGTTGAGAGCCACTACGCTAAGGCTCCAGAGCGGCCGCATTCCACCCTGGCTGCACATTCCAGGCACCTGCGTGCTTCTTTTCAAACTGCTCATGCCCAGGTGCCACCCCCAGAACTTCTGATGTAAATGGTCTTGGCACGCGGAGGGAAGGCTCCCAGCAGCAGTCCTCTCCCTTTCAGCTCCCCAGCGTTCTGCTGTGCGGAGCACGGCCACTGGAAAGCCTTGGTTGGGGTGTGATGACAGCCCCTCCTCCGCCATGCTCTGGAAGTCTAACTGCAGTATCGCCTGACAGGTTTTTAAGAAGCAAGCACTTCCTGCTGCGTCCCCTGTGTGCTCTGCATCTTGCTGGGGACCAGGATCCAGTGCAGAGCATGAATAGGTCCCTCCTGGGGGGCACCTTATGGTCCTGAGGGCAGAAGACACTTGGGGCAAAGTAGGACAGGCCCAGGGCCTGGAATGGCACCTTGCAGACACTCCCCATTCTGCATGTTGCAACCAGGCTTGGTTGTCGCCTTGTCCTCCCGGGTCTGATGCTCGAGGTTCAAAGACCGAAGGGGGTGCCAAGGACATGCCCCTGTCAACGTGGCTCCCAGGACTTTCTTCAACCATTCCTTTAGGAAATGAGAATACACTTGATCGTTCAGCCCGAGACCTTCCTGAATCATCAGGTTCCTAAAGCCAGCCAAGCAATGATCGGGGTACTCCACTGGGGTTCTAACATGTGACATGCAAGTTTTGAAGAGTACTGAATAAATGTTTATTTTTTTATAATTGTGTATTTCTTTTGATGGACATTAATCCTTAGTTTGAAGATACTTTAGGTGTTTAAGTATGAGGAAAAAGCATGGAAATATACAGAACAATACTGGTGGTGTGTACATATAGCGAAAATTGGAGAGGTCACGTGCAATGGGTTGAGCTTTACAGAACCGTGCTGGGGCAAAGAGCGTCCCACACGAGCACAGTGATTCGTGCACAGTCTTGTTCCTTCTTTCCAAGCTCCTCTGAAGTTATCTCACCATCTGATGAGCAGTTTGCCCCAACTTGAGCACTTTCTAAGATGGTTTCAAGAGTTGCATCATCTTGCTTCATGGAGAGAAATAGCGCGAGCTTGTTCCTATCGTAATTCGGAGGTTGTACCAAATGCCGCTCTCTCAAGTTCTGAGTCACTATCTTAGCTTCTTCCCTTTCTGTGTGTTTCTCTCACAGTGTGTCACAAACAGAATGGTATCCTGCCCTCAGGGTTCCTGAGGAGAGAAGATCGTTGAGACATGGGTACTGGGAGCCAGTTCAACAAAATCACATCGTAGCAAAGTGACTCACTGCTGAATACTGGCCTCCTGATGAGTGCTTTTCTAACTTTCTGTCTCAAGAACACATGCATATTCTACATTTTAGATGGCAATGCCTGCGACAGATCTCAAAAGAAAATGACCTGCTGAATGTCCTTTTTCCCCCTGTTCCTGTTCTTAGCTTGTGTTGGGAATGAGGATGATCACAAGTGTATGAATTTTAGACACATGCAAGTAATGGCCCTCCAAAGAGCCATCTGCATTGCGCTCAGCCTGTTCTAGCTCAGGAGTTCTGTGAGGACAGGTAGCCTTGAGAATTCCTTACCTGAAAGGTAGCATGTCCTATGTATGCTTCACTGTAAATTTAGTTTTTAAGTGTTCTTATCTTCTGTGTTCACATTAACTTCTTGCCAGGATGGATAATTTTCAATGGTAATCTTCAATAATTGTGTAAAGGGATCTCTAACACCTTGTTTAATTTATAATTTGTCCCAGCTGTAGGCATTCAGATGAAACTTGAATTTTTCCAAAGGAAGTTCTGGACTGCCAGCAGACAGGTAAGTTATAATCAGCCCATGGAGGCATTAGCAACGCTGTTATTATACAGGTGTGCACACCGGGTACCCAGAGTCTGCAAGGGCCATATTTCCCATGAGTGTTTGTAAAGTGAACTGCCAGCTGCTCAGATTACCTCTCAGTTCACTGCAGAATGAAGGGCTATCAGCATGTCAGACACCACATGCTGGGGAAGCAGGGGATTTGCTCCTCCAAACAATTTTAATTGTGAGATCAAGATAGTGCCTTCCAGAGGAGAAGTCCTTTTTCGTTTTGTTTTGTTTTAAATATTGGATACTTTTAAGAACATCCCTAGTGGCTTTTTTTTCTAATCTCCTGAGGCCCAGTTATTTATTTGTTAGTCTCTATTTTTTTGCACCTTTGAAGGCCTTTGCAGAGCTAAATTTGACCAAGCATGCATCTGCCTTCTTTGGCCAGAGGGCTTCTCCGTCTTGGAGAATCTGGGTTCTGTTCTCTGGACTAAGTCATCTCAGGGGTATTGTTTAGTAATTCAGCACAAATGGTGACACATAAATCGCCTCTGTCTGCCCAATTCTGAATATTGGAATGTCACATCATTTCTTAAATGAAGATACTGTGGGATGTGATTTGCAAGAACACAGCAGTTGAAAGTCCCTGGAGATTAAGGGACTTAAAATTAAATAATTACATAATTTCATACCTTGTCCCTTGAAGCTTTGAGCTTTTAGGAATATTAATTTTATTGATATGTCAATTTTAAATGACAACACAAATTAAAATAGATACGTTAAAATGAAAAAGAGCTGGGCCCCTGCAGAATTGTCTTTTATGTCACCATTTGGGGTTGGCATTGCTCCTAGAGAGGGCAGGTGAGACCCCCGCAGAGCCCGCGCTCCGGGTGAGATTTGGAATTGGCATCACAGGCGAGGACTTTGATAGCTTGTCCTTGGGTGGCTAAGCAGCGGTCAGCAGGCACTGGAACGGATGTCGAGTAATGGGTCTTCCCTGCTTGCCCCTCCCCACAGTGCGCCTCTCTGGATGGCCGGTGCCCCATCAGCTGCGAGGACGAGGTAGGATGGCCCCGGGTCCCGGTTCTGTCCTGGCCCCTCTGCCGGACGGACTGTGGCTGTAAACCCAGAGCTGGTCGGCCACATTGCTCCCCACCAGGCTCCAAATCCCAGGAGCACCTGCTTTGTCTCTTTCTTTGATTTGCTCCTCCGAGTCCGACAGTTCATGAGAGCTGGTGAAATGCACTTTAAATGCCCTGTGGACAGCAGTTTGGGGATTTGGGCATTTTATAGGAATCACTGCTATTTGAAGCACACATTACAATCCTCAAAGCCTTTCCCCCATGAGTTATCTCCCCGTCCTGGTGAACAAACCAGTGAAATGGCCAAGCAAGGCATGACTGTCCCGGTTTACGGAGGGGGAAACTGAGCACCAGAAAAATTAAATGGCTTGCTCGATCTCAGGTAATAAATGAGCTGAAAATCTAGGGGTTGAAAACTCAGAATTCTTCATTCTAGCTTCACATTTCCCTCCTACATCTCCCTATCTCTCTCTCCCTTCCTTTCTCTTTATCTCTCTGTCTCTCTCTGTCTCTCTCTCTGTCTGTCTGTCTCTCTCTCTCACACACACACACACACACACACACACACATGCATACACACACACTTCTTGGGAGCAGGAATTTGAATCCCACTCTTGAGTAACAGAAGAAAAGAACTGCCCCATTGCCATGAGCCTTCCCATCAGGCTCACGTCTGCAGGGCCTTCAGTCCTGCACGTCTCTGCCCCGCGTGTGCGAGCAGGCAGGTGTGGGGGGACCATGCCTCTCGCCTCTCATAGCCTTTCCCCACATGAGCTAAAACATTAGTCAACACATAAACTGGAACTTGCAAATAATCATATATTTATATGCATTCTGATCACGACAGGGATTAAAGAAATCCTGATCAAACAGTTTCAACACAGAAAACCTATTAGAAATATATTTCAAAAAAGTGGGCAAAGGAGAAAAGTGCAGAGAGCTAGAAAAGAGAGTGTGAGACAAAGAAGTTAAAACACAAAACGCTCAATCCCCGGAGGCCTGGCTGCTGGTTCAAAAAAAAATCATAATTATTGTATGAGTCAGTCTCCAAAAAGTAAGAGACGATCAACCAGCTTTTCAGCAGAAGAGCAGCTTTTTCTGATCATCAGATCAGAAATCATTTTCCCTCAGGAAAGAGCATCATGTGCCATCTCAGGGCCAACGCCCCTCCAGCCGGTGTGGGACGGCGCTCATAGGATAGTCAAGTGGCCCCACACCTCTCCTCTGGCTGGGAGACATTTATTAGCACATTGGGGTCCCAGCTACAGACACCACAGCTCCCTGACAATGTGGATTAATCAGCATCATTAGGCCATCCACTCGCAGAGTCGGTTCAGGTACTGCCAACAGGTGGTAAGAGAACCGAGGGCCCTGAGTGGTTAGCTGGGGGGCTGGCTGTGAGGATGCTTGGTTGATTGGTAGCTGCGTGCTTGGTTGGATGGACAGATGAGTAGTTGGGGTAAATAGTCTGATGAATAAAGCCAGAGGCAGTCATCTTCCCACAAGCCTGGGTGCATCCTCACGTATAAAACAAGGGGGAAATGGATCCCACATAGGGTCAGAAACATCCAGTACCTGGTTCTTGTTCCAGGACTGGTTTCACGGGTGGCGTAGCCCGGTGGTTTGAGGCACAGGCTATGGAGTTAGAAGAACTAGCTTCAAACTGTGACTCTGACAGTGGCAGGCCACTTGTCCCTGGGCATGCTTCTGAGCCATTCCATGCCTCGGTTTCCTCTATAATGGGGATGGAAATCTCCACCTTGCAGAGCAATGGAATGAGTGAGATAACCTGAAAAGTGTGTGCCCAGCTCCTGGTGGACAGGAGGCCCTCGTGTTAGCTGTACCCCAAAAATGTCTGCAGACTTTTTCTTTTCCTTAGGGTAATGGTTCACCTAACACCTCAGACTGCAATGGCCCAGGCAGGTTAGGCAGCTGACGATATCCCCTGAGCACTGTAGGCACAAGGCTTATGCTCAAGGTCTCCTTTGGCAGTCACCGGGATAAGCCCCTTCTCAACCGTCATGGAAAAAGGCTCACCGACTTTGGAAATGAAGCGCTGAATTTGCTCTGACTTCTGCACTTGATCTGGTGCTCAAAGGTCCTCCTTGGGCGCTTTGAAATTGTCATCCATTTCCCATTTTGACTCTAAGTTTTGACTTCAGACAACCAGTTGGCACAGTTTTGAATGGAAAAGCTAGCCCTGCCTCCCCACCCTTGCAACAGACTCTTTCCATGTGTCATCTCCTTTCGTGGCTTTTAATTAAGCCTTGGGGACCATGCCCCACCCTGCTCCCCTAACTGCCCTCAGCTGGCCAGGTCCCCACCGAGAGCAGCCATGGGGGCCCGTTTCGTTCACATGCTTCTCCTCCGCACTCAGGACCCAGCCCGACCCCTTCAGGCTTATGGGACATGCTCTGCTCGGGACCTGCTCCAGCACCCATCCCCCCTTCATTGGACTCTCTTTGTTTCAGTGTCTATATCTGCAAAATAAGGGTCATAACATTCAAATAAACAAAGATAGGGAGTTGACTAATATTGCCCGTGGTAGGCTGGCTAGAATACACTGGAGTACACTGCAGTCCAAAGAAATCTGTACAGTGCTGGAAACTTCCAAAAGCCTAATCGCTAGCCACAGGTATGCACAAGAGCGCTGGCAATGTGACTAGGTAACCGAGGAACTGGATTTTTTATTTTATTTAACTCAGATCTGCACGTAGCTAGTGGCTGCCTCGTCATAAAGGATCTACCTTAATAAAGGGTGTATCCTTCTGACCAATTCACTGCCAGACTTTCATGCCCACCTAAAACAACACCATGGACTGCAGTCCCTGCCTGCCCTGCCCTGGTCTGACACTAGGCAGACTTTTTAGCTCAGGGTAAAGATATGTTACAAATTAAATGCTGCAGTAGGTAGGTAAAGCTGCAATAAATAGAAACTGAGTTACATCAAGGACGGAATTAAACCTTAGGTTTAAACGCCACAGCACTATAATTAAAACTTAGCCTGTAGCAAATCATTGACTTGAGATTAAAGTAGTGTGGGGGAAGCAGAGGTTGGGGTTTGCCCTGCTTTCTACAGTTTATAAGGCTGAGCTTCCAGAAGCTAACAGCCCTGCCCCTAAATCCAGCTCCCAATTAAAAACACAGTTTGAAAACCTTTAGGAGGCCTAAGGTTCCCTTTTAACAGAAGTCTGCCCCTTCCCCCGACCTAAGTCTATGAACAAATTAAAAAATATTACCTGGTCCCCTGATGGTCTTCTGAGCTGACACAGTGATTTCATTAATACATCATTAAGGTAATGACATTGTGCTGGCATTTTGCTTTCAAAACAAGCTGCGCTTCAGCCTCTGTGAATACAGGCCTGGGGGCCTCTGAACACTGTGTTCCTGGAAAATATTATTCAGGCCATAGAAAGAGCAAAAAGGAAGGCAAACTGTAATTAATAATTTTGTGAATTATATTCTCTTTATCCTAATCTGGGGCGTTCAAAGCTTGCTTGGTGCTTTATTTATTTTTGTTGGGTGGTTTTGTAAAGTAAACATAAGGGTTAGCTTAACCATGGCCTCAACTCGCAGAGCTAGGAGGCGTTTCCCATCCCCCACAAACAACCTAAAATGAGTTTCTCTTGGCTTGGCAGAATATCATGTCAAAGAAGTCTGAGAATCCAGAGTTGAAATGGTGGCATTTTTGTTTTCTAGACTGTGAACTGTTACCTCATAGACAATAATGGATTTATTCTGGTGTCTGAAGACTACACGCAGGTGAGTTAGACATTTTTTCTGCCTCAAAGTAAGGAGCTCAGCACGCGCTGGGCTCTGGGGTGGGTGACAGATCTGGGTGTGAAAACTTTGAGACAATCATCTTTATATGTAAGAGGTAATAGCAGGACATTATAAAGCCTTATTTCCCTCCTTCTAAACATGCTCCAGGCCCCTTCTCCACAAGTCCCAAAGCATTTTGACCTCCCAGCTGGGGGGTGTGGGGTATAGGCAGAGCCCAGGTTTGTCCACCCCTCATTCAAAGTTCACTTTATACAACTCTTCGCCTCAAGGGTAGAGGTGCCTTAGAGAGTTTGGACAATTTAAAGGAGGTTTCCTCCTTTTGAAATGTCGATTTTCTTTTATCTTCTTATAAATATATGTGTGTGTCTATATATTATATATAATAGTCCTTTGGGATCTCTGAGTCTCTGTTTCCTCAGTTGGATACGAGGCAAATTCCATTTAACACTGGGAAGACTGGATGAAATGCATGTGGAGCCTCAGCCCAGTTCCCAGCCCAAAGCAGGTAGTCAATAAACAGCAGCCTGTTAGGAATGAGGTCCCCTGGAAGCAGCTGAGTCCAGTTGGAGGCAGAGAGGAGTAGGGCATATATCTGAATAATTAAGACACAGCATGAGAACTGATAAACTATGGCATGTGACAGGAGGAAAAGGAAAATCAGTCCTCTGCTGAGTGAGCAAGTGCTATGAGAAAGGGGCCACCCGCCACAGGAAGGAGGAGCTGGCCTGATGGGAGAGAAGGAAAAGGGGGAGAAGTGCAGTAGACATACTCTAAGGCAGGACGCAGGGCGGCAAGCAAGGAAAACACCCTGGAATAAGCTCATTTAGGGCCCTTAATGCCACGCTAAGGAGCAAAACATTTGAAGAGATTTGTTTCTTTATTCTTATAAAGACTGAGGAATTACTGACACGGAGTGTAACCCTGACATGCGCACGGTGTACACAGGCCTGCCCTAATGTCTCTGCCGCAGCAGGCCCCTGGCCGCAGCCTCACTAGTGGAGAAGGAACAAGCTCCTCTCAGAGGCCTGGGACAGCAGCCGCCCCGAAAAGCTGCGGGAGTCTGTCTTTGTTGTTTTAGAGCACAAATGAGGCACATAATGGGCAAAAGTTATTTTGCATTCTGATTCTTAGGAAATCTTGAAGCACACGACTTTATCTTCATCCCAGCCCCATCTCTGTCTCAGGTCCTATGTCCCAATGAAATTTATAGGTCGCTGTGCTTACTGGAGAGGAAACAGAAAGAGGGTCTCGTGTCCTGTGTTTTCCATGACTCCAGCCATCTCTGAAGCCTTGCCACTGCATGAGAGAGCCCTGAAGCCCAAAGAGACCGCCTGTGTGTCTCTCCCTTTGGCAGGGGCAGCAAGATTTGTCTGAGTGCATCATGTGGAAAGGCCAGCCTGAGGACGGCCCTACAGGTACAAGTCTGTGACCCCCTGCTCAATCCTGCAGGTGCACGTGACGGTGCAGTCAGTGTGAACAAGGGCCAGCTGTGCTGCTCCCCAGTCCCGTACAGGAAGCGACCATTCAGACCCAAACCATCGAAATCACAGCAATGTCTTACTCACCCAGAATTTTACCAGGAAGAAGGCATTTTGAGGGCCCTTTCCAAACAGTTCCTTTAAGCCACCTTTCTTTTCAGGAAATTTGTCATAAATCTGACGAATGTCCACTGATTCGAGCAATGGGTCACTGTAAGAATGGTTGGCATGCCCAATGTGCACGAAGAGGTGTTTGTTGTACTGTAAGAAACCAACAGAAACAATCCCATTACAAACCCTTTGATCATTCTGGGACACACCATCTTGAACTGGATAAAGAGCAGTGATCTTGAAATCCTGGAATTATGCTTTGAGTAGGCTAGGGTCTGTGCCTTTGAAAAGATTAAAATACTAGGAAAAACCATTTTAGTTAGGGATTAAAACAGTTACTATCTTTTCTGACAATGGCATATATTTTTCTAAATGCCTAAAGAAGGTTTTTTGTAGACACAGTAGTAAATAACAGCTTAAATTACCCAACTACCAACCCNATGACAGTGGTTCCAGGAGCTTAGAGGGAAGCTCGAGGAGCTAACCCTTCCTTCCACCACTCAGAGCTGGCAGATCTCAGCCAGTGCCAAGAACCAGACTTGAAAAGGCACCAGCTCAGGGGTAGGGAAAGGCCACTCGGCCTTACGGTCTCTGAGGGCAGCTGGGTAGGAGTCCAACTGGCCACACTCTCTCCTCCCGGGACTGGACTGTCCTGTTCTTGTTCAGCCTATGAACTGCCTGTGGCCAAAATGAGGGTGTTCCTCAGAAAAGGATTTTGAGAAAGGATGCATTTTCTGTAGTAGGAAACTCACAGGGCCTGTGGAGAGGACTGCTCTGTTTCTCTAAATAGGTCACCCAGGAATCCTAAACTGTGCCTTTAGTTACTGCTTAGGGAGCGCTTCCCCAGCCAGTTTCTGTCTGCATGAAGTAGTGTTTTAGCCACATGGGATTGCGTGCAGATTAAATGCTCACCCCACCGAGCACAGTGCACTGGCGTGGTGTGCACGCGTGTGTGTGCAGCCCTCATGTGCTCACGGTTTGAATTCCAGCTCTCAGCGTGTCATGCAACGCCACCCCCTCTGCCCCTGCCATGTGCTGTGGAACATTCACACCCACTCGCTTGTTTGCTCTGTAACCCCTCACTTCTGAGGGCCAACCAGTAAGACCTTTCCCACTTTTATTTAACAGTAGTCCTAAAATCCTGCCCTTTCCCCGTCAGCTCCAGGACCCGGGCTGCATCAGCTTTTACACTTGTCAGGTGTCCGGGCCCGTCATTCATCCACACTTCCTCTCCTTCCCCGCAGACTGGAGACTTCTTTGGTGAGGTCGAGGGAGCTGTGATGAACAAACTGCTAACAATGGGCTCCTTCAAAAGGTAAGCGTCTGATGGTCCCCTGCGGCCCCCCAAAAAAGCTGGCCTAAATAAAATAAAACGAACCAAGGTCGAGTAAAGCGAGCCCAGACCCGACCCCTGGGCTGGTTTGCGCTTGTGTTCCCGCCCCTGAAGATCTCGCTGAAATCCGACGCCTCTTGCATGACTGCCGAGTCTTGGAAACTCAGCCCACAATGAGTTTCCTGTTCACCCAGTGTGGAGTTTATTGGAGGCCAGTATTGCCGTCGGAGTCTGCACAGGAGCACGATCGTATCAGTCTCAAGCAAAGAGCTGCAAAGAAGCAGAAACGTTTTCAGCGGCCAAAAGGAGTGTATTTTGTCTCACATTGACAACCTGGGAAGCTTCTAGAAATCTGCAGCCTGGGGATGGCATGTGAGACTTAGAGACTTGGTGGTATTCTTTTAGAAAATCACCTGCAGGGTCTCAAAATCTGCTCTGGCATGGTGGTAAGTTGAAATCTGCTGCTGGAAGGAAACCCAGATGGTGCCAACGCCCACTGGTGACAAGCCAGAGCCAACCGGTTCGTGACAGCTCTCGTGACCTCAGTGAAGCCTGGGTGTGGCAGCATCCTCACGGCTGTGCCCCTCCTGGGCAGGCGCAGCCTATGGGGGAAGCCGTCACCCCCACAAGAGCAGGGTGCCGGGAAGGTTCCCCCAGGGGCCAACCTGCTCCCTTCCCTTGGCCTCCGAGGAAATGGCAATCTGGAAGTGGTGCTTTCCTGGGCACCGTGGCTGCTGTTAAACTCATAATAGCCAGAAATCCAAGGATGGGCCTCAGCCCACCTGTGAGAACCATTGCACGTGGCTGCCAGTGGGAAAGGCAAGTCTCTAATTTATGACTCCCCTGCAGCTGAATGGCCAGGAAGTGTTAGCTCAGGAAATCTCGGACTTTTAAACCAGTCAACAAGACCAACTGAGCGCCGTGCTGAAAGCAGGGAATTCAAAACTGATGACCCAATTTTTGAGATTCCAAAGCTTGTTTGTGCCAGAAGAGGGGAAAAAAAATGATATTAGGAGTTGGCGTGACTCCAGCCCTTCTGCAGCCCCTGACACGCTCCCCCTGCTCCCCGCCTGCCTGCAGCAGAGGGCTCACTCCTGCTTAGTCCCCTTTTGAAAAGTCAAGTGCAGCTTTTTGCCTTCTTACTGAGGCGTCCCTGTGCACATGCGTGAGCACTCAGGAGCCAGGCTTGGGTGGCTGCGGGGTTTTCTATGACTTGTTACAGCTTCCCAGGGATTTGCCTGCCGTCCAGGGCACCGTGAATTCTTTGTATCTCTATGTGGATGTGTGCATTTGTATTGTGTTAGCTTGTTTTCAACTTGGTGCAGTGGGGAGACGAAAATGAGAATGATCTCACACGTGTTTCTCATTTGAAAGCATATTTTTCAACCTCTTTAACTGAACCATTTTTTTCCTTTTCCCTCTGGGATATTTCTTCCCAACAGTTGGGTGGGGGAAAGAGAATGATGGTAGTGGAATTTTTAAATTCCTAGTCTTCTCCTTGATGTGGGTGAAGTAGGGTGAGCATGAATCTAGAACTTTCTCTTACTATGAGAGGAGCTGGGGTATTTGAGAACCGGGCAGGGCTGGGGCCTTTGCTCAGTTTTCACCGTGACTGGTGTCATCTGGGAGTGAGTCGACAACCCTCTGGGCCTTGAAGGGGCCCCTCACCAGTGCCAGCAGTGCAATGAGGGCTTGGGTTGCAGAGTCAGATGGACTGCGTCCAGATCCGGGCTCTGACAGTCACTAGCTGCATGCCTTAGACTCAGTCAGGTCACCTCTCCAGCTTTGGTTTCCTTCCGTGGAAAATGAAGAGGATCATAATAATCACTTCCATGGGTTGCTGTCAGAGTTAATGAGACAATGAAGCATAAAGTGCCCCCACGGTGCCTAGCATGTATTAAGGAGTCAGTAATTGCTGCTGCCGTGAGCTTTGTTGCCGGGGTCCCTGCTCAGCCTTGGCATTTCCTGCGCCGGGCAGCAGGTGGCGCTTCTCCTGCGTGCACACATCTTGTGATGCCTGGTGAGGGGGTCTCTGGGGCTGGGGACCTGCAGTCCTTGGGACAGACATCCGCTGCCTTTGCCCTTCCCGGCATGCATTGTTCCCTCGGACTGTAATGAGGACAGTCCTTTCATTCAGAGAAGATGTGTGTTTCAGAAGCCCTGAACGGTTGTGGCCGAAACTGACCCAGGGCGCTCTGAGACAGCGACCGTGCCTTGTGCTACGTTGAACCTACCCCCCCACACAGTGAAGCGTGGTTGGCATGAACCTAGAATCCACAGTTCTGCACGCAGGCTGAGTTGCTTTGGCGACATGATTGAGCCCAGGTGAAGCTCAGGATCGCCTCCGCGAGCTGACCTCTTATTTTCGGCATCTTGAACAGAGCCAGGATGGCGTAGAGTTTCTTGATTTGATCTGCTTATATCCAGTCATAAAGAAGTGGCTCTCATATACAAGAACACTACAAACCATCTTCTCCAGGAAGACAGAGCTCCATAAAGAACACCGTCAACCTCTATCAGGCTCCCTTTTCGTCTCCCGGTCCACATTTGCTACCTCTGTCTCTAAAGCAACATTACCTCTGAGTATCTCTGGACTCCCCAAGGCAGTGGACCGTCTCCAGGGTTGTTTGGCCATTTACCTGGTGACCTGCTGGCCTTTCTTTGTAGCAGTGCCATTGGAGGGAAAAAGCATCTACAATGCCTTGTGGAAGGAAGGGAAGCCGTTGGCTTATGCGAACTAATTACCAACTTAAGGGAGCACCTGGTACATCTTACCTCCTGCACCCTTTCCAACAGCTCTGTGAGGACCAGCCGCATAATTTGCAGGGCTCAGTGCAAAATGAAAACCTGGGGCCCCGTGTTCACAAAGTATTAAGAATTTCAAGACAGCGACAGCAGAGCATTAAGCAAACATGAGGCCCTCCCAAGGGGAGTGTTCTGTGTAATTACCTGGGCTACATGCTTATGAAGCAGCCCTGAGTATAAATATACCCATTTTACAGGTGGAAATACTGAAACAAGGTTAAGAACTTGCCCTAAGTCTCTGTGTAACAGAGCTGGATTTAAACATCCTGCAGTCTGAGCCCAGAGAGAATTTTCTGGCTTCCGCCCTCTACCTGGTTCTGTGTGCGAGAGCTTCGTGTGTGCTTGGGGCTGCCTCTAGTTTTGTTAGAGAGGTGAAGGATCCCTGAGGAAGATGTGGGCAAGGAGAGCTTTCAGGATGGGAGGCCAGCTGGGTGGGGACATGGCCGCACCTTCTTTTTGCTCAAGGCGATGATCATGAAGCCAGGCCATGGTCCCAGGCTCATGGTGTGTTCTCACTGGAACACCACGTGCCTGCTCAGCTTTTTGGTTTCAAACAGAAAACTTCCAACACTTCTTCACTCACACCTTGGAAAGTCAGGGGACTCTCTGAGATGGGCCTCCCTTAGGGCTTTGCATTTTAGCTGCTTCTCTTCTTCCCTTAAGGCTGCGTCTGGGGAAGGGCCTTGCAGGCGTGTCTCCCAGCACCCACGCTCTGTGGCTTTTCCTGCTGTCATGGGTGGGGGCATTGCCCCTCTTACAACTACTAACAGAAAATCTGGTTTTGAAAATTTGTTTTAGAAGTCATTTATACATCCCCTCCCCGACTTTGTTGCCCCCAGTGATACAAATTCAATGTCAAATACCCGGGAGAAGAAGAAACAGTAGGGAGCCAGTCGTGGGAAGGTCCGGAGGTTCCTTCCAGAGCCCCTCTGGGACACCAGCATGCTGCGACGGGCAGACCCCAGGCTGAGCACCGCCGTCCCCACCGTAAGGCCTTGCACAGCCTCCATTTCTTCCTCAGTGACATACGGAGCTCAGGGGTTTGTGTGAGCATCCCTAAGACAAGATACCCGAACAGGCTTTGTAACTTGCAAAGCTCTTGCAAACAGGGGGCAATATTAGCTCTCTGATAAGAGCTCCAAGCGTCTGAACTTTTTTGTTTGTTTGTTTTGTCCCTTAAAAAAAAGAAAAACCACTAATAGACCCCAGAAGATGATTACCACCCAGCAGTTACCTCCACGGCACAGCCTTGGGTTGGCCGGTGGGCCTGGAGAGCTCTGAATGCATGCTTACGCTTGCGCTGTACCCCAAGAGATCTGTATTAAATTCACCTGGGGTTGGAACCCAGGCGTTCGTGCCCCTTAAAAGCACCCCCGCCATTCCCTTGTGCAGCTAGGGTCAAGGAACACCAAGTGAAAAGCCCCAAGCTGCCGGTCTGGGTGCTGTCCATGTCGGGTTGTCTGACCCTGGGCAACTTTAACTCCCTGAATTTCAGTTTTCTCTGCAGGAAAATAGAACTCGAGGACTTATTCATGTACCTTCAAGGGGGGGCTCCGTGGAATAATGCATGCTTTCACAAGACATCGTTGTGCTCTCAGTCAAGGGGTCTTCTCTTGTTCTCTGAGGATCAAATTAAGCTCGGGCAAGGAAAAAGCAGTGGGGTACACCTAGCCTTAGGCTCACGGAGAACTGGGGCTGCCTGCTAATAATTTGTTTCTGCTTTGGGAGCTCCTGGTAGTTCCCGTCTCTCTTGGCTGGGTCTTTTCTGTTTTGTTGCATTTGTTTTATGTGTTTGGGGCCACATGCCTGAGCTTTCACCCCTCCAAGGCCATTCATATTTTCCCCGTGGAGCCTGGCAAATATCCTCCACACCTCGCCCCACACACAATCATTAACATAGTTGACTTGTGCAGAATTCCCAGTGGCAGCTCCTTGTGCCCTTTAAATTGCCCTTCTAAAAAGGTGACATATCAAGGCTGGATTCAAGGTAGAATCCAAGGCTTGGACCATTTCTACTCCTGTGTCTATATGATGGAAATGCGTTGGCTTGGTGGCAGGGACTGGAGCACTCCTTGTCCTTGGAAATCATGTTACATTTCAGCAAATGCCCTGGCGCTGGAGTCTAGAGTGTGTTAAAGGACAAGTCTGTTATGTATGGATGGCTGGTCTCTAATGCG